GTGGTAAGAGCAGTATCATAGCGAGCACAGGATACATGGAAATTTAGAGGACAAGTCTTAGCCCTACCTGAGGAAGTCTAAGAAGGCTTCCTGTTCGAGGACACACTGGTGCTGAGTCTCAAGAATGAGTAGAAGATTGGGAGAAAAAGGAATGAAGGAAAGAAGCAGAAGCAACAACCAGAAAAAAGAGTGTGGAAGATAATTACAAGTAATTCAATGTTACTAGAGTGCAAAGGAATGAGCAACGAAGGGTAGCAGCTGAAGCTGTAGGGGCCTGCCATGGCGGAGCTGGTATGCTATGTAGAGGCATTAGAAATTTCAATAAGCAATGGGAGGAAATTGGGGGTGCTTAAAATAGGGATTGATGCATAGGCAGCTATGCATTTACAAGAGATCAATCTGGTAGCTGTATTCAGGATGGCTCTAAGGGAGGTAAGCTTTGAAGGCCAATTTGGAGGCTTTTGTAATTGTTCAGGCAGGAGATGATCTAAGGCTTGAACTAAGTTGTAGAGGAGGGATAGATACAAGAAATAATTAAGACTTAAAATGTGCTAATTAGTTATATGTGAGGGTTAAAGAAAAGGAAAAGGAGCCTGGAATTGATCCCAGGCTTCTGATATGGGTAACCCTGTAACTTGTGCTGTCACTATCTGACATAGAAAATAGAAATAGAGCAGTTGGTGAGTGAGGTTTGGGGAGTGTTTCAGTTATTTATTGTGTAACAAACCACCTTAAAATTTAGTGGCATAAAACAACAACCATTCATGAGTTCTGTGGGCCAGGAATTTGGGCAAGGCTCAAAAGGAATAGGTTATCTCTGTTTCACAATGTCTGGGGCTTTGGCTGGGAGGAGTTAAATGGCTGAAGGCTGGAATTACATGGAGATTTCTTCACTCACTTGTATGGGGCCTTCATGGGGATGGCTGGAAGGCTAGGTTCAGCATTGTAGGTTTAGCAACATCCCTGGACATCCAGGACTGCATAGAAATATTTCAAATCAACAGCATGTCCTTAGAGCCAGTGGTCATTAGAGCCATTGCAGCAAATGAGATATCTCAGGATGTGTGGAGTGAGAAGACCAGTGGGTTAAAGTTAGAACTATGGGATGGACCAATATTGAAGAGTGGAGAAAAAGAAAGAACAGTGAGAAAAAAAAAAATGGAGAGAGATAGTAGGAAAACCAAGAAAGACAGCAAAGAGTGGCATAGTAGTCATTGCTAGTGTCTTCCCAGTATCTTATCTCCACTGTCTTCTTGGTCAGGCCCACTCCTTGGCCACAGTCATTGGTCCATGGACGGCTACAACACACAAGCCAGGCCAAGTAGGCCTTCCCTGCGATTTTATATTCAGAATTTTGGAGCAAGGTGTTTCTTTCCTCTGGGGTCCTTGTACTGGAGTGATGTAAATCCAGAAGTGCCTGTGACGTGTTCCCTACCACATGGCTGAGGTTCAGTGCACAAGTTGATGATGACCACCTGTGCCTCGCAGCTAAGAAGAAGCTCTCAAGGGTAGGTGGTAGGTGCTTCCGAAGGCACCTTACATGTCCGAAAGTCTTGTCAAACTTGTAATTATCAGCTAGTGCTTTTCTATGGAACCAAGGAAGGCCAGGAAGCTGTACCAAAAGCATCTCTTCCCATGCTATCTTGCTGCTGTGTACTGAGGTAGGTAAATAGTGAGACTGTGCTAGACACACACACACACACACACACACACACACACACACACTATGTGGGAACTTGATCTATGGCAAGAAATCCAACTTGTACCCATGCTGATACAAGTGTGTTATAATTTCATATGCAGTAGAAAGAAATGAGACCAGCAAAAAAAAAAAACCAAAGGTGAGACCTAAGAGGAAAGACCACGTTTTTGCTAACATTCGAGCCCCTCAATCCTGTCATTCTTGAGACCAGATCCAATCCTGCCCTTCCTAGTTACATGAATCAATAAATGCTCTTAAGTTGGATATCTTTCTGTTGCAAACTGCTGTTGTTGTTAGGGGCCATAAAGTCACTTCTGACTCATAGCGACCCCGTGCACAATAGACTGAAACACTGCTTGAACCTGTGCCATCCTCATAGTCATTGCTATGTTTGAGCTCATTGTTGAAGCCACTATGTCAACCCATCTTATTGAGGGTCCTCCTCTTTTTTGCTGACCCTCTACTTTACCAAGTATGATGTCCTTCTCCAGGGACTAGTCCCTCCTGACAACATGTCCAAAGTATGTGAGACAAAGTCTCACCATCCTCACTTCTAAGGAGCATTCTGGCTGTACTTCTTTCAAGATGGACTTGTTCGTTCTTCTGGCAGTCCATGGTATAGTCAATATTCCTTGCCAACACCATAATTCATATGCATCAATTTTTTTTCAGTTTTCCTTATTCTTTGTTTAGCTTTTGCATGCATATGAGGTGATTGAAAATATCATAGTTTGGGTCAGGCACACTTTAGTCCTCAAAGTGACATTTTTGCTTTTAAACACTTTGAAGAGGTGTTTTGCAGATTTGCCCAATGCAATACGTCGTTTGATTTCTTGACTGCTGTTTCCACAGGCAGTGATTGCGGCATAATTTCCAACATCACAGCAACACACAAGCCACCACAGTACGACAAATTGACAGATGAGTGGTGGTGTTGCAAACTCAAATGCCCTAATACAGAAACTGGAACCAGGAATGGGGTGGCAGACCTAAAACATGGAGTCAAGGTTGAGCTAAGGCAAGGAAGGCAGGAGTGGAGGTTCCCTTATCTCTGCCTGAGAAGAAGAAATTTTTGTTATGTGGAAATGAAGCAACTGGTAAAACTGTCACCCAGTGTATTTTGTGCCTCAGACTATGCCCCTTCCACCCTGAAGACTGGAATTTTATGGTAGAAAGGTGTCAGGATATTGGAGTGAGAAGTAGAAAAGCCAGATGCCCCAGCTCCCTTCCAAACACCTCTACCACTATAGCCCTTGCCGAACAAGGTCATAATCACTCCCTGTAATCACACTTGGATGCATCCTGCGGATGAAGTCAGCTCCTAATTGTTTCATTTTTGTAAGAGACACAGACCATGATCTCATTGCCATTGAGTTGATTCCGACTCATAGCGACCCCACAGGACAGACTAGAACTGCCCCATAGGGTTTCCAAGGAACGACTAGTGGATTTGAACTACTGACCTTTTGGTTAGCAGCTGAGCTCTTAACCACTGCACCACCGGGGCTGCTTAGCAGACCAGGATAGATTATGTTAATTTAAAGCGTAGGATAATGGGATGATTCCCACAGTTGTTGCTAAGGGACTGAAAACACAACAGTTCAGAGATCCTGATTTAACAAGATTTTTGGTACTTGTTACTAGCCAATGAGGCCACCCAAAATGAGGTCAGTCACAAATGGTTTCAAACAAACTGTGTTGCCCCACTGGCAAACAGAGATTTGTGATTGTTCAGTTCTTAAGACAGCCCTGCAACACTGGTAACAGTGAGTGGGTTGCTAAAGCAATAGAGGCCCCACCGGAGAAGTCTCCTGAACATCCTCATAGGCATGGTTATGAAGCCAATGGACAGGAGAGATCCCAGTAGGAAGGTTCTAGCATACAGATAGGCTGGATAGGAACTCACTACACGGCAAGAGAAGGGAGCCAGTAGACAGATCTCACTATCCCTGTTTATTAGTCTGGATGACGTCGCTTCCTCCTCTGTCATCATTTCTAAATGTTGTACACCCTTGCTGCTGCTCCTTCCCTACCAAATTCCTATCTCCATAAATGGGCCACCATCATATTTCCAGCCTTAGGTAAGTCTTCTATTCCCTTATCTGCCTGACGACAACTCAATCATACAACCATACTGCAACCATAACATATAACAGAGAATGAAGAGGTCAGTCACACTGGGGCTATTTCTCCATTCCGATCCTTGAAGGGCCTGGCAAAAGACCATACTCACCTACATAACAGGGTTGTCATTTAAGGTAAGCAAAAAACCACAGAAATAGACATAAAACAGAGAAGATTTTATGTAACATTTATTTCTTTTTTATCCCATCCTAATTTTGGCTTTATTCCTCCCCTTCTCCCATTCCCATTCTTTTCTTGGAAATCCAAAGTTATTTGTGTTTTAAAACAAAATGTTTAAAATCATGTTTATCTGGAGTTATAGCAAAACTATCTTCTCTCCAGAAGGGGGAAAAAAAACACACACATACAGATTTATTCTTATGCAGCATTTTCAAATATACATATTAATATATTTGTTATAAACTATTTAAAATAAAACCCTTCATCCTCTGAGGTTATTGACTTTTTATAATTCACTGACACTTCTCCCATAATACAATAATTTTATTCATTTTCATGAATGAGGTGGGGAAGTACACTAAAAAATAGGATTTTAATCCCTGAGGTGCCAGTCAAAATGGACAAGGTTGCCACTGCAACACAAGATTAAAAAATTATCTATAAATAATAAGCATGGATCATGCTATCTGGATCAAAATTACCTCCATAGGTAATTTAGAAAATTGCATTTACTGGGTTAAGTTCACCCTGCTATTCCTAGCCCTCAGGCTACAACAATCTTTCCTTTTGCAAAGGAATAAGACATAGCAAGGAAATCTGAAGAAACTTCAGAGAGCCTCAGGAATCCAGAGAAACCACAGTCCTGTTTCTCTAATCTCACCCACGCATTGTTGGAGAGACAGTTTTCCAGCACCATCCCAAGACTTGGAAAGGTGGATGAACCAACTTGGTTTTTCTATTTCTCCATACCTTCAGTCAAAAAAAGGAGTAGAGATCAACCTTCCTGGCTAGAAAATGGGTTGTCTTGCTTGTCTCTGCTGCCGTAACAAAAAGCCAGGCATTCGTTCCTCTCCCATCTATTTGTGTCTATCAGCAGAACTGGGTTCAGTCCTCTTTGCCCACTCACCCTTGTGCAGACCCTGTCTCTTTTAGGCAGCTCCCAGCAGCTCAGGCTTGAAAGGCTGGGGGGGATGCTGCACTCCTGCCCTGCTCTCTAGTAGTAGCGGTTCAGGCTCCTGGTCCCGGGCACCTCAGGCTGACCATTCATCCAGATCTCCCTGATGATGCGTTCCCGCTCCTCCAGTCTCTGGGCCCGCTCTAGCTCCTCAGCGGAGGTGAAGACGTTCTTGTTCAAAGTCCTCTCGAAGCGGCGGTGTCTCCGGATGGAGACGTCAGACGCAGTGTCGGAGCTGCCATCCTCACTGTCGCTGCTACCACTGCTGCTCTCTTGGTCCTGCAGGAACTTCCTCCTGGGTGGGCGCCGCCGGCAGTCTACGTGGCAAGAAATTCTCATCACCAAGGCAACCAGGGTGATGACCAGTCCGATGCACACGCCAGAAACAAAATATAGGGCTGCTCGCTCAGGATTTTCTGGAGGAAGATGAGGAAAAACAAAGTAGTTGAGAGATACACCTCCATATGAAGAGACCAAATATGAATCCAGCCCATGTCACAAACCTTATCAGGCTCCAAAGCTGTGATAGTTACAAATTTTGCCCTCCCTATTACAAGTTTCTTAATGCATTTAAAATATAATTATTGACTAATGCTGAATCTGGGTCAAGGGCATATGGGGTCCTTTGCCTATTCTTGCAACTTTAAGTTTGAAATTATTTCCAACTGAAAAGTTAAAAGTAAGAAAAATATAATTATCTAGCAATTGTGCTTAAGATCCATTTGTTTAAAACCATTTTGTGATCCATGGGACACAGTATCCCAACACTTCTCGCCTCTGGAGTTCTTTGGGAAGGAGGTAGCCCAATTTTAATGCATTTAGCCTCAACGTGGGCCTTCTGAAATGCGTAAAATTCAAGAACCCTGAGTTGGAGCCTCATATTTGTGTAGATTGAGCATGGTCTTAGGTGATGATGCCTCCTGGATGTGTAAATTTTCTAAACTTTTGACAGGTTTTCCTTTTATTTCTGTGAGATAAGCCTCCTCACTATGTTTCCCAGTTTAGTTTTATTTATTTGGCCTATAAGTACTACTTCTGCAGTAATGAAGAATGCATCGTAGTGGTAATTTTCCTGATATAAAAAATCCCTTGGCTTTATTTGGGCTGTAAGTGCTACTTTTGTAGTAAGGAAGAATGCATTGTACCATGTTTTGAAAAGTTTTGTGTTTTACCTCATGTTTTGAAAATTTTCAAGAAATAAAATTTAGAAAAACAATTTTATCCTTGACTTATGTCGCCAGTATTTACTACGTCCAGGGTCTGCTGGGACAATGTGATCCCACATAATGAGTATCAAAATCCATAACTCATAACAAAAATTATGAATTGGTCCTTTAATCAGCATGCCTTTACTAGTGAAAACAAACAGTATCAACAAAAAGATTCAAAGGAGAAAATAATTGGGTCTTGATAGGGTTGTATTTCTAAAGTTCCTTTTTACCTGTAACAGAAAAATCTTTGCTTCTGAATTTGCTCGCACAACTTTTGGAATTGTCTTTTAATCGCAGTAGTAAGTAGCTTCTAAAATGACCCCCAAAAAATCCCTGCCTCCTGGTATTCATTCCTTGTGTAATCATCTCTGCTTGAGTGCAGGCTGGACCTAGTGATTTACTTCTAACAAACAGAATATGGCAAAGGTGATGGGATGTCACTTCCAAGATTAGGTTACATAGGACTGTGAGTTCCGTCTTGCTTACTCTCTCTCTGGATCTTCTCACTTGCTCTGATGAAGAAGTAGGCTGCCATGTTGTGAGACCTCTACAGAGGGGTTTACATAGCAAGGAACTAAGGGCAGCCTCCAGCCATCAGCTATGGAAGAAGTGAATCATGGCAACAACCATGTGAGTGAGCTTGGAAGCAAATCATCCCCCAGTCAAGCCTTGAGGTGGCCGCAGCCCCAGCTGACACCTGACTGCAGCCTTGTGAGAGACCCTGAATCAGAGAACCCAGCCAAGTCACACCCGGATTCCTGATCCACAGAAACTGAGAGGTAATAAGTGTGTGTTATTTTAAGCCACTGAGTTTTGGGATAATTAGTTATACAGCAATAGATAATTCAAACAATCACACATTTAAAGCCAATGCAGGCATTTAGCAATGACCTCATCATGTTAAATGGGGGAGTTGGAAGGGATCTGAGCTCTTCCTTGGTGAAAGAAGAAAATAATCATGCTAGTGATGAGCAAGATGCTTAATGAACCCAGTGATGATACCTGCAAGATGTACTTAACAGAATGAAAGCCTTTGGGTGAACAGCTTTCCTTTTCTAGGTATCAATGAGAACACAGGGACACAACTGGCCTTGAGTCAGAAAGCATGGTCAAACTGGCAGGACCCAAGACTGACATCCATTTTCCATAATTAGTATTCACTTTTGGAGCCCTGGTGGTACAGTAGTTAAGAGCTCGGCTGCTAACCAAAAGGTCAGCAGTTCACATCCACCAGCCTTTCCTTGGACACCCTATGGAGCAGTTCTACTCTGTCCTGTAGGGTCGCTATGAGTCGGAATCAACTTGATGGCAATGGGTTTGGGTTTGTATTCATGTTTAAGTAAGACTCAAAATATATGATTTTTTGTGTTTTTTTAAAGGCTATACGTAGTATCAAGTATGATACAAGTTTGCCTTTTAATTTTAATAATATTTCTAAGAGAGCTTTCCAGATCGGTGCATTTAGGTCAATAGCATTCTTTTTGATGGCTGCGTAGTGTTCTGTAATATAGGCCTACCAAAGTTTATTTAGCTATTTCCTTACTGATGGCATAGACATTGTTCCAATTTTTTTTTACTACTGCAATAATGCTACAGTCAATGTCCTTGTATCTTTATACACATCTCCTTATGCACAAACAAGTATTTATGCAAGTTACTTATCTAGAAACAGAAGGGCTAGGCCAAGGAATATAGACACTTTGAAGTTTTATGCGTTGTACTAAATTGCATCCCATAAAACAGTCTAAAGCCAGCATACTGAACCCAGGTGTTTATGAATCTGTGTCCCTCTGAAACCTCCACTGAAATGATAAGGCTGTGAACAAAACAGACATAAATTCCAAGGACAAAAAGAAGAGTGGAGAAGAAAACGGAAAACTAGAATAGTCAATAAAAGAATAGTCAACAAAGGGGTGGAAGTGCAGTGAAGGAAGGTGAAACTGTGTCCTGTCCAGTTTATATTCACCAAACACTGAGAGCAGTGGGAGAGCCCCTGCTTTGAGGGGCTGACAGCTGCTGGGGAAGCAAAACCATCCTATCTGAGTACAAAAGGGCATTGTTACAGTGGGAGCATAAGGAGGAACCTCTGGAAACACAAAGGTGGGTGGGGAAGCTAACTCCAGGTACGGGGTCTGCTAGGGCTTTCTAGAAAGATCAATTCTGAGCCAAGATTTGAAGACTAAGACGGGTTGATCATTTGAAGAAGATCAAGAATAGTGTTCCAGACAGAGGGAAAAGCATGAATAAAGGCACACGGGTGTGAAATAGCATGTGAATGTGGGAAAGTACAAGTGGTTTGGAATGATCTACAGCAGGATGTTAAATTCCTCTTTTCCATGCCGCCGTTTAAATATTTGTTAATGGCTCAATTTCAAAGAACATTAGTATTTAACTATTAGCAGTCACTCTTCTGAACATCATAATATTCTAGCACAGAAAATAATAGAACCATAGCCTACCTCATTATAGATACTACATTTCTAAGCATAATCACAAAGACCTAAATAATATTTTTATAGCCAAATTGCTATATCTTTTTTCATTGAACTTATTGTCAAGTAAACCCTGTAAGTGTTTAACAAAGGTGATGGCATTAAAGCTTATCCTCTCCATTTAAAAAAAAAAAAAGTTACCCATTAAGATTTTTTTTAATTCAAATACAAAAACTTCATCTTGTTAAGGTGGGACCATTGTTCCGGATTGTTGAGATCTTTTGTAATCTTGATTTTGTCATTGAAAATAATCTCTCACTGCCAAGTTATACATGTTGGTTTTGGTCAGCCACCAAAACCAACCTGTATAACTCTACCCAAGACAATGTAAAAATATAGAAGGGGGAGTGACTTGTAACAAGCTACTAGAGACCTATCTCCAGGTTACTATTGACCCCTCCCCAATATAAGTGGAAGCCATGTTCTTCAGCAGTTATGATACCTAATCATCCTAGCATGCGGTGTCTCAACCTTCAAGCATACAAGAGAACTTACAAGACATCTCACTGATTTCCCTCATCTCCCAGGTGCATCTCCATCGTAAGCTTTACTTACTGTCATTTTTACCTCTGTCTCCCCACTAGACTGTGTGCAGCAGGAACTGAGTCTTATTAAGTCTTTGAATTCCCAGGACCTACAAAAGTTTTTAACCACAGATGTCCAAATATGTTTCTACAGTTTAACAAAATCCATTATGTCATCAGCCCCAAGCCTTAGAATCAGTCCCTTTTTCTTCTTCTCCTCCTTCCAGTCCCCCCTCTCTCTCTTCTTCCTCCTCTCCTCCTCCCTTTTTGGCTACCTTTGAGGAAATAAAAAGAAAGGTAGTGCTGTTTCCCTAGGCCACATGACTAGTAGAAGGGCCTGTGCAAACAAACCAAGTCTCCAAGTCTATCTGGTTCTGAAGTCTATTCAATACCCTTCTCACTATTCCATGGTACTTTTATGGCACTGTTATCAATGCTGAGGTGCCACCTACTACACAGGGCTGGTGGGAGAATCAATGTAGATACTACTTGTTCCCACTGAGTTGATTCCAACTCATGGTTACCCCATATGTTACAGAGTAGAACTGCTCCATAGGTTTTCTTGGCTGTAATCTTCATGGAAGCAGTTTGCCAGGACTTTCTTCCACAGAGTTGCTGGGTAGGTTGGAACCACAAACCTTTTTTCTCTTTCTGACCAAGGCTCCCACATTCTCGCAGTCACCTATTCCCCAAGCCCCCAGGGTCACCGGGTCACCTTTGACTCACTTTGGTGTCTACCTCATGAATTAATCATTCTTAATCATTCATTCGCATGTCTCTTCCATCCCTTCCATTCTCACTGCCATTTTTTCCACACCTGGATTGTCACTACAGCTTCCAAGCTAGACAATCTGACTCCAGTCCCTCTCACCTCCAATCCATTTTGCACATTGATGCCAATGTAACATTTTTCAATCTGACTCCTATTATGTGACTCGTTATTTTTTCCACAATTAAAAAAAAAAAAGACTCTCAAAGCCCTCAGTAATCTGATTCCAATCTCCCTCTCTAAACTCCTCCACAGGGGTCCCTTATCCATACAAGCCAAACACAACATTCTCTACCCCTAATCCACAAAAAGAGCACGGTTAACGTGCTTGGCTGCTAACTGAAAGGTTGGGGTTCAAGTCCATCCAGAGGCATCTCAGGAGAAAATCCTGACTATCTACTTCCAAAAATCAGCCACTGA